AGAGGGGCCACGAGGGCAAACTGGGGAGGGCTAGCCTCCTACTAGTTCGAATTAAGTGGCTACACAGCCCTTAATTCGGACTACTTAATTTGAACTAGGCGTTAGTCCTCGTAGAATGCGGTTTACCTAGTTCGAATTAAGCGCTCCGCTAGTTCGAATTAAGTTCGAACTAGCGGTTTGTATGTGTAGCGCCTATCAAAGTTAATTCGAACTAACGTCTGTTAGTTCGAATTAACTTTGTAGTGTAGACATACCCCAAGTGCTTTATAGGAGAGGTATCAATAACCCTTTAAAAATGTATGGAAACCCAGTGAAATAAATGGGCAGATCTGAAGGCTAGACAATTTATCAGCATCCATTTTTTGCATAAGAACATAAAAGCTTCCAGACAGGATCAGACCCAAGATTCATCTATTCAGTGTCCTGGCACCAGAGCTTCCGAGGAGGGTGTAAGAATGCTGCAGCTGAGACGCAATGTGTAACTCAGCCAAGAAGAAAACACCCACTGTGAGAAATGCAGCTAGGATTCCCTGATTTAAATTCACTATTGATTATAAGCAAATTTGCACTGCCTGGGAATTTATAATGCAGGAAATGGCCAGTAATGAAACAAAAAAAAATGAATATTTTGGAAATAACTGCTAGATTAAAAAAATGCTTTTTACAAACTGCTTAAAATGCTGCTTGTTTTATATTTTACTGTTTTAAATGAAAATTAACCCACATTTTTAGTGCTCCTCAGGCTGAGTGCATGAAAAATTTGCATGTGCAAATTGTTCTGGCATTGCACACACAACTTAAGTCAGGGGCGGGCAAGCGTGACCCTTGACCACTTAAGAAAACCTAAGAGTGCCCCCCCCCATCAAAAATGATCACCTACCCTTGACTTTGGTAATCAGGTCCTTACCCTTCCCAATATGTACACACAAGTGCAAGGGCATGATTTTGACACATGCAGATGGATGCATGCACAATCCAGAGGTCTGCTGAGAATTGCACTTTTGTGCAATCATATACATTCCGCTGAGGGAGTCTCAAGGTAAAATATCCTTACGTGCTTCTTAACCATAATTGCTTTTCTGCCATAACCCACTCAGTGTAAAAGGCTTTTCGGCAAGCATTGCCTTTGTATTTTAATCTGGAGAAGGAAAATAAAATGCTTTCCCCTAAGAAAGAAGTTGTTAGTGAGAGTTGATTTGTACACTGCTCACATCATAAATTCCTCTTAATATCATGACTCTACATGAATCATGGGTGTTAGTCCCAGGATATCAGAGACAAAGTGGATGAGGGTTCAATAAAAGATACCGCCTCACCCACCTTCTCTGTCTGTTACAAGAATGGCTTTTCCCATAGTAACAACTCCATCTCTACATCCTACAGCCTGAGGAATGTCTTTTCTGTTTGTTGGCACCCGCTGCTGTTTGTTTAATGACACATTACTATGTGCTGCACACACATTCTCTGAAAACAGCCCCACTCAAAAGGAAAGACAGCTGCCTGCCTTCAAGTTACTGCAAAAGGAGGTTTGGAAAAGCTCCGTTGAATGGCTAAATTTCAGTGGGCTAATTAAGGTGCCTTAATTGTGTGACCTAATTACAACAGAATGGGCATTTCTATTCCCGGAACATTGCTGTGAGTGCAAACAGTGAGGGGAGGTTAAAACGCTTGCTGTTAGCATTAGCCCAGGCGTGGCTTCCAGGTTCATTGTGTATCAGAATTCTGTGGCCTGCCAGGATCATAGCAAATCTGTGCTCTTTCTAGTGCTTTCTCGTGCAACTGCGTCAGGGCTCTCCAACCGCCTGCTGTATGGGCAAAATCTTAGCTCCATTCCCTCCTTGCTGTTGCATACCCAAGCCTGTGGAGCGCTGCATGTACACACAGTGAGAAAACGCCACTCCTGTGCTCCCAGCCCTGGGGAAGGCATCTGACTGCTCCCATGTTGGCTGCCAAGGGGGATGTTTGCCAAGTTCTGCACATGTACCTCCCTGACTCCACAGGGCTTTGAAGGGTCAACAACACAGGAACTGAAAGAGGTTGTTGCATAAAAAAGCCTGCGCCTGAGCTTACTTGATTTTACACATGCATTTTCTGAAACGACGCTAAACTGTAAGGTCTAAGGTTTTAAACTGCAACTCATTGTGATCTTTGTCAAACCTTGCAAATTGCTGTCATCTTTGTAAAACTTTGTAACTCTCAAATTTACTGTAAGCTGCAACTTTGTAACCTTTGTAATTCTCAGTCACTTTGTAACTTGCTCTAAACTTCATTCTCCCCATATGTGTGTGTGTGTGTGTGCTTGTTTTGTTTGAAGTTGCAATGCTAAGACTGAAGCACATGGTGATGAGTCATCATAGACTGCTGCTTTTGCTGGATAAAGGGAAGTCTGGGCATGCTCCCTGACGACGAGGCGGATGAGTCACAGGAGCCATTCAGACACTATATAACAGCTGTGGCCAAACAGTGAAAAGGGCTCATAGCTCTGGCGCCTCTAGAGCATTGCTAGGGAGCCGGAGACATGTGAGCCCTTTCAACTGCTTCTATTTAAAGGGCCCATGCCTTCCCAAGGCTGCTAGGCAAGGCACAGGGAAGATGTGAGCTCTTTAAACAGAAGCAGTTAAAAGGGCTCGGGTGTCTCCAGCTCCCAGGCAACATGCTAGGGGGTGGGGCCTGGAACTGCCTTGTGGGCCAGATGCCCTTTGAGAGGCTTTTGCCCACCCCTGCCCTACACCAAGGAATTTCCCAGCTGGCTTTGCACTGCTGCAGTGGTATATCGTAGGCTGAATGGGGTCCAAGTACACTCAGAATAACTGGGTATAATGAGGTCCTGATATTGTGCGTGTGTGTGTGAGAGAGAGCAACATTAATAGGCAATGACCTTAGATCAGGTTCTGCTCTCGGCTATACCAGCAGGTTTCTGTGAACCGACTCCAGATTTACACTAGTGTAAATAGCAGCAGAATCTGGTTGTGGTGTTTTAATGACTGAACATCAACCGGGACCAAAACACATCAATTCGCAATACAGTGTCAAGGGGTTAGTCTACAGCTTTGTGCTTCTTTGCCATGCTGTTCAATGACAACGTCGCTTTGTTGGGTTCAATGATACGGCGATAGACCCTTATTTGCACTTTCCATAGAAGAATTCTGCTTTCTTTTCCCATTGTTGACTATCTAGAGAAAGCCTTTCCTTAAATGTTCTTGACAAAGATAACGACCATCACTTCCTAGATACTGAAGCAACAAGGGACCACTGTGGTCACCTAATTTAGGCTAACCTCCTGCATAACAGAACTTCTCCTGCCATAGAACTTCTCCAAAATAACTTTGCCAGTCTAGACTTCTTTTTTTTACTGAAAATCCATATTTAATTGTCTTTAAAATAAATCAAGGAAATAAAGAGCTTCCTACCTTATCTTTTAGCTTTTCCATCCAGCTTCTTACTAAAAAAAGGAAAAGAAAAATGTAAGGATTGCAGCCATAATTTGTGTCTAATTAATATCATAGAAGTAACGAGGCTGTCTACAAATAGACACAATAAACTTGACAGATGGATAGCACTTTCATTAGGTTTCACATTGTCTCAGTTATTAAGTAGACAGAATGCAGCCAATCACCCAGAGAAGTTGCAAAATTCCGGTTGGTGGGAGATGAATTAACATTGTTCTGCATGATCCGGGCCTGGCTGGACTCCAGCGGGGAAAAGAAAAGATAAAGCTGAATGTTCCCTCTCCTCCTGGACTAATATGTGTAGCGTTTGCAGTGGGGAAATCCAGATAATGAGAGTCAATTGTAGACCCTCCAGGGAGTGTGGCTGTCTGCATCTGTTGAACTCTCTGTAAAAGGATACGTTTAAGACCAAAACCTGAAAACTCCTTTTCCCATTGGGTTGACAGAGAGCTCTTATGCAGAGGGCGACATTCTGCACTAGGATGGGAAAGCATTCCAAAGCTTTTCTTACTCCAGCTCTATGTGATCAAGGCAGATTGGTGACCTACCACCCTTGAGCATCACAGTCCAGCTCTGCATCACTGCTGCACACCTGCTGGCCTCTGGTGCTGGAAGAGACATACGTTTGCACCTTTCAGCAGTATCCTCCATGAGCACAATTCAGCAGTCCCTGAGGTAGTCTGCCAGCATCAGCCCTCAAGGCAGCAGGCCTTGGAGAGATCTGCTCAGTCCCTTCAACTCTGCACAAATCCACAAAAGGAAAAGGGAACAATCTGTCCCTTAGAGTAGACAGGCTACAGAACAGGAAATGTGTCTTCCACTGGAACATTTTGAAAAGTGTCGTGTATGTTTGCAGTGCTACACAAGTCATAATAAATAACAAAGAGTCATTCTAAAACAGAGGCACGTCAGAGTCACATGGCCCTGTCTTTTGACAGAGGGGAATCCATGTTTGAAAGCATACACTGAAAACAACCTCTCTGAAAGATTTATTATTGCTGCTGTCCAATAACTTTATCCTTTAAGACGCTCAGATCTGCTAGTTTCTACTTCAGGTCCCCACTGCAACAAAAGAAATCCCCTTTTATAAAGGGACATCTGAGAAACTCATCGGCACAGCGTGATTGCTCTTAAAGGAAAGTGTGAAATGCACAAGGAGTGCTGCTCCTCACTAATTCTCTGACTACTGGTTTGTCTCTGTGACTGGCTTCATTCACGGCACAATAGCGAAGTCCCTTTAGATTTCTACTGGACTGAAATGGTGCTCCCAGCATGGAAATTAGTCACACGCGGAGGTTGCCATGCTTTCGTGTGACAAGAAACCTGCAAAGCAGAATGGGATGCAGTTGCCAGTGACATGAGTTAGTCGGCCTCCTTTGGCTGAAATGGCCGAGCTACTGATTTCAGATTCTTGTGCCCCCAATTCCAACTGCAGCCCCGGGAAAGTTGGATTCCCCAGAGATCCACCTGTCACACTAAAGGGACTTATGCCTGAAACTCTTTCCTGAGCCAGTCAGCTGCTCATCTTTACAGATGAAAACCCTGTGTAGAAGCACAAATAATTCCGTTTCTACATACAGTTACAGGAAGTGGGACTATCTGATGCACATAGTTCTTAAAAGGTGACCCATTAGGGATGGTGCCTTGTTTAGTATCCTTCCCCATCTCCAGCGTTTCCCTCTATTGTACCCACTAGTTCAATTCTATTGAGCACAGCAGAATAGGGACCAGCTACTTGTAAATTCACACCATCTATTTACCACTGCTCAGAGTGAGCCTAAAAGACATGGCAATTAAGACACTGGTGGCCACTGGTGAACAATCTATACTAGACAGTCGGCTATTGCTACCACTGAAGATGCCATGACAAAGTTATAGAAGGAAGGCTGCACGCTGATAAAAGGACTCAAGGAACTTTGCAGGCTTAGGTTTTATCTACACCAGTGTATCTCGACCTTTTTTTTATAACGTACCCCTTTTTCAAAAAAAATTATAAGTACCCCTAGTACCTACAGTTTTCAGACACACAAATTTTTTTCTACCATTGCACCACATTTGTTTAAACAACTTAATTGTAGCCAGGCAGGCAATGAAATTTTTGGGTGTAAAAAGCACCAAAATAATAAAATGCTATAAAACTTAGAACAAAAATTCAGTTTTCTCCAAATTTCAGTTGTGTTGACGTACCCCCCAGACTTCTCTCAACTACTCCTAAGGGTACTCGTACCACTAGTTGAGAAACACTGGTCTACGTTATGCAGCTTTTAGCAACACGGCAGTGTCGTAAAAACCGGGTAGTGTACCTGCTGTCTGTCGGCTCTTTCACAGAAAAAAAGTACTTCCCCCTCAACGAGGTGCACTAGCTTTGTAGACAAGAGAGAGCCCCTGCCAACAAAGAGTTGCTCACACCAGCATGTGTTGTTTCATGGGGGTGTCATGTGTAGGTTTTGTGATTCAGCAGTCAGTGGAGACATAGCTTTATTCAGATGTGTGGCAGAGGGAAATCTAAGGAGCTCTCCATGGTGCTGCAACAGAACTGGTCTGCGGACTCAAATGAGCTGTCCCCTTGCATGTTCATTGCTAGTGGCCAGAGTTGTGACTTTTGTGACCCTTTCCTTTGGGATGGAGCAATACACCAGTCTGAGGCTTCACTAGGTCAGTCAGGGACTTTACTGGAATTATGTTTCCTCGAGTTTTGATAACTCACGCCCATGCCAGCTGACAGGGGGTGCAAAGAGGACAAAAGCCCCCAGACCCGGCAATTCTAAAGGGCCTGGAATCTTGGGACCTTTAATCACCACTGGAGTGCCACAAAGAGTGGCATACTCCAAGTGGCACTGAAGGCTGGCTATGCTGGCCCCACCCATTCCAGAAGCACAGAGCCGCCTCCCCCCAACCTTGCCCAGGAACCCAGTGTGGCTGTCGGCTCCTCTGCTCATGCCAGATCAAAGAACTAAACCCTGTTTAATGCCAAGCACTATGGAGTTAAACATCAAGCAAATTGCAAAGAACTGAAAACAATCAACAGTGGGAGCACCATTTATTAACTCTACTGGCAGTGCTAGATTCATCTACAAGGCATGAAAGACAAAATGTTTCACCTTTGGGACATCTGCCATCATTTTAAATGACTGTCTCAAAGGAAAGAGGCAGTGGGTAGTGAAAAAAAACAATTGTTTTTATCAAAGTACAATGATAACGTTTTAAACAGCATTTGAGGGTCCACTTTTTCACTGAGGAAGAGATTAGACAAGTTCATCATTTTGGATGTCTGGGTGTTTTCAGGTAATGCTTTCCCCAAGCTACATTAAATCCTAAATGTCATCTGGCACATTCCCTGTATGGAGAGACACCTGATTTATAAAGGATACCTCACTACAGGTCTTCACTTAAAGATTTCCTTTGCAGTGTTAGAGTCTGCCTGTTGGCATATTAAAAGAGCACCAATGAAAGCACTTTTACAAGACACTCTAATGAGGTTTCGAGCATCAGAGTGTTACAGGTTATAGGTCTCGCATGACCAAAGAAAACAGAAGTAATGAAAGAGGTTAACAATGGATAAAGCATGAATTCACAAGTGACCTTGTAAATAAAGTGCAGGTAGTAGATAAAGAAATATTAAGAGTAACCTGTGATAACTTTGCAGCTGCAGCCTTGTTTGCTCACATTTACTAGCATACGAATTCATTCTTTGCCCAGTTTTAACATCTGATTTCTTTCACTGTTTGTGTCAAGGCCTATGCAGGTGAGAGGAGAGGGATATAGCAATGGGGCAGGAGTGAATGTCCTTTAAGTCTGTCAGATAAAAACAAGGATAGACAAGCTGGAGGGAAGAAATGAAATCCAGCCCACACCTTACTATGGTTATTAAACTAAATTAAGCCATTTTTTAAAGTTTTGGATCAATTTTGATAGTGACCCTTTAATAATCAGTATCTTATGTTAACATAGCACCTTCTTTACCAAAACAACTGTGTAGAGTGTACAAAACACAATAAGGAGTCCTGTGGAATCCTAAAGACTAACATTTATTTGGGAATAAACTTTTATAGGCTGGAACCCACTTCGTCAGATGCATGAAATAGAAACTTCCATTTGGCTGACACATAAATACATACACAGATGGGTATGTTGCATTACTGTGAGAGGACCAGTGCTAACGAGGTTAATTCAATAAGGGTGGATGAGGCCCACTCCCAACAACTGATAAGATATGAATAAGAAAAGAGGGAAAACTATTTTGTAGTAAGCTAACCACTCCCAGTCTCTATTCAGAGCCATTCTGACAGGGCACGTCTAGACTACATGGCTCCGTCGACGGAGCCATGTAGATTAGGGTTGTAGGCAAAGGGAAATGAAGCGGCGATTTAAATAATCGCTGCTTCATTTAAATTAAAATGGCTGCTGCGCTGTGCCGATCAGCTGTTTGACGGCACAGCGCTGTAGTCTGGACACTCCGCGGTCGACATCAAAGGCACTTGTCGACCTCCCCATTATGCCTTGTGGGATGAGGCTTACCGGGGAGGTCGACAAATGCCTTTGATGTTGACTGTGGAGTGTCCAGACTACAGCGCTGTGCCGCCAAACAGCTGATCGGCACAGTGTGGCAGCCATTTTAATTTAAATGAAGCAGCGATTATTAAATCGCCACTTCATCTCCCTTTGCCAAGTAAACAAATCTACATGGCTCCGTCGACGGAGCCATGTAGTCTAGACGTGCCCACAGTGTCAAGTTTGCACAGGAGTTCCAGCTTTGCAGTTTCTTGCTGAAGGCTGTTTTGATGTTGATGAGCCAGAATGGAATTTAGTTCATTCACTTAGAGCATGGCAGAGCCAGTCCAGCAAACCTGGAGCTCCCTTTTAGTGGCACTGACCCTAGAGAGGGAACAGGACAGGTATAAAGTCTCTCTCTCTCTCTCTCTCTCTCTCTCTCTCTCTCTGAAATGTAGCCACATAAGCAATGTGGAAATTATCGGCAAGTACATAGATCTGG